TCAACATCTTTAGCATTAATGGGAGTCCTTCAAACCTCTTATTTAATAATAGCTGCCATTTATATAGCATTTTACAGTTGCTAAGGTACCTTCTTCACAATAATCTTGTGCAGTATTATTACCCTCATTTTACAGATAAGATAATGAAGTTTCAAAGAAATGAAGTGACTTATACATAGTGCCACAGTTATTCAGTGGCAGTCAGGATTAGACTTCCAAGGCCACTGTTCTTTCAACACCAGTCAAAATTCTTCTGATATCACTAACGAAAAAAAAAATGAAATACTTTGCAACACAAATGTGAACTATTCTTGTCATCAGCATCCTTTAGCATTTATGTTGGCTTTGAGCTCTGTCCTTTTCTTATGTTTTGAGAGGGTCATCACCAGAAAATGGCCAAGAGGTGATAAATTTTTTCAGCCATAGCAAATATGATAGAGTCTACTAAATTGCACTCTACAATACTCTGAATTGGTGATGACTGTACCTAGGGCACTGAAATGATAAAAATGAAGTATGAGCTTTGACAATTCTGTGAAAAATGTATTGTCTCATATAAGTTTTATCTCCTCCTGACAAAGTCATCCCAATAGAAAGTAAAGAGGAAACCACTGTTGCTAATGAAACATTTCTTACTTATTGCCTTTGGTATCAACTTCTAGTCGAGAAGAGTCTTCAACTGGTACATAATCCTTGGACCAGATGAGTTGAGAGTCTTTGGACATCTGATCACATTCAAAGTTCAGTGAAATGACTCCATCATCATCAACATTGACGACAATCTCTTTGGTTCCTGTAAGATAAAAAAAGGGGGAATACTTATACTTTCTAGTAGAATCAATCAAATGAGTACCTTTTATTGTGATTTTGGGTTGGGGATGCCTCAGACTCTTTGATCATGTGTAAGGAAAGAACCCCAATTTCTATTTCCTGCTGATTGGCTCATCTGCCACCATCCCACCAAATTAAATTTAAGTAAATGTACCTTAAATAAACTGTGTGTTTGTATTCTGAGATGACACTTCCAATAGTGGAGATGGTGGACTATCTATACTCTTACATTCAGACCTCTTGGTGATCAATGTCACAGATTTATTTCTGGCCGTGAAACAAAACAGAGCTGGTCTACACAGGAACCAGATCTGTAACCTCAGTCTCATTAGCTTTGTGCTTTAATGAAAGAAAAAAAAGAAAGAAGGAAGGAAAGAAGGAAGAAAGAAGGGAGAAAAAAGGAAAGATGGAAAGAAAGAAAAAGGAAAGATGGAAAGAAAGGAGAAAAGAAAAAAGGAAGGAAGAAGGAAAGGAAGAAAGAAAGAAAAAAGAAAAGATGAAAGAAAAGGAGGAAAGAAAGAAGGAAAGAAAGAAAGGAAGGAAAGAAAGAAGTAAAGAAGGAAGAAAAAAGAAAGGAAAGAAAGAAGGAAAGAGAAAGATGGAAAGAAAGAAGAACCAAAGAAAAATGAAAGGAAGGAAAGAAGAAAGGAAGGAAGAAAAGGAAAGAAAGAAAAGAAATACAAATAAGGGAACTAACTAGGAAATAAAAAAAAGCAGGAAAAAAACTAGGGGTGAGTAGCAGGGGTGGAAAGAGGAGAGTCATAATGAGCCATTCAGGCTCCAAGAGTGAGGACCATAATATGTACATTTGGGCAAGGAGCAGGGAAAGTCCACTCAAATAAAAATTTTAAGAAAAATTCAGCTGATGGTGAGAGAAAGAATATGGGCCTAAGGCTATAGAGAAAAAGAAGGGTGAGGCCAGGCCAAAGAGGAGGGAGTGAGCTATCTGTGTGCTTCCTATTTTAACTAATTATCTTCTTTAACTAGTTTCTTCTTCTTCTTAACTAGTTCCTAAACTCAGTTGTTTGTGGCTGCTGAAGAGGTACAAGTGTTATAAACATCCTCCAAATTTCAAGATCCTGAGACCAAACACTGGTCACACCAACTTAGTTATAGTTTTGGGAGGGAGTTGTATTTTTATCTGTAACATCTTAAACAATGCAAGATCATACAATATAGACAAACCTGTTCTGCTGATGGCTCAGACTTAAATAAGCCTAAGTGAGCCATTTGGAAAAAAGCTTAGCTTCCAATTCTGCATTTACTATAGGAATAGTTCAGAGATATAAAGGACCCAGATTTTGGGAGACTTCAAGCTCTATAGGTTCAACTATGCTATTAGTTTGTAAAGAGTTATAGCTGGAAATTTGATTTTTAAATGATCTAAATGCATTTTAAATTATTTTTAAAATTTTAATCAGAGGTTTGGGGTGAAAGGCATAAAATTAGTTCATGTTTGGAATTAGGTATTTTTATACAATCAAATTCAATTGCCTCTAGAATGAACACAACATTTCAAAGAGATATATGTGCGATTTTTGTAGATATTTACATCTGTGTCCACACTTTGAGGGGAAATGAAAAAGTTATCCATGCTAGGACACTGATTCAACAGCTAGAATAAGGCTATTTAAAAACATATACCTAAGAATAAGTTTAAGTCAAATGATTTAATCCTAGAAAGGTGCAATTCTATTAAAAGCATTGGAAACTTTCGTACACCTAATATTTTCCAAGGGGTTGATAATTTTTCCTTTCGAGTGTTTTATAACAGGCAAGCATTTTGCTCGACTGTACAGTAAAAGCCATTAACAGAAAGCAAATTGGAAAAGGGTGCCCAGGGAAAGGGCAGGAGGACATTAATATGAGGTTCATCATTCCTGGGAAGTGAAAGCAAAACAGAGGCCTTATTCAGGAATGTCCTTCCTGAGGCTGCTGTTGAGTAGGCACCAGAAACCTACAAAGGATGGTTTTTGACAACTGCTAAAGCTTGGAGAAAGCCTGCAGGGGTGAGATGGGATGGAGAGGGGAGGGGTACGGTCTTCTTCTTCTTCCTCTTTTTTTAATAATTATTTTTGCAAACTGAAGTGAGGAGCAATCAAGGTGGTGACTTAGTTTACTCCATTATACCTTTGTTCCACATAGGATTTTTAAAAATAGCTCCAACCCATGGGGCCAGCCTTCATTTTGTTCTTCATAGCTCACACTAACCCTCATCAGTAAACATTTGGAACCTGTAGCTAGAGCTTAAAGATTTTAAAATAGCTCACTCTTTGGCACACTGTGGTCCACGAAGTGTTACCAGACACATTTAGCATGATTGAGTCACAGAGGGAATGTACGCTTTCATTCCACTGTACTCTGTGCTGTGAGAAGATGGAAACAGCAATGTCAAAAGCCAGACTAAATCCTTAATTGGCTATTTGTATATACTTCAGATGGAAGCAGTGACAGTCTGTACATCCTAATCGCTTATTTGCTTAGCCAATATGTTGTGTAAGCCTATATAAAAAGGAACTAAATCAGTTGGATATATGCTGCTTGTTACCCCTATGGGTTTGATTTAAAGTTTTAAAAGAAATACTGTTTAAGGCTCAGCAGCTTTTTTTTTTTCTTTTTGGTGAGGCAATGGGGTTAAGTGACTTGCCCAGGGTCACACAGCTAGGAAGTGTCAAGTGTCTGAGGCCCGATTTGAACTCAGGTCCTCCTGACTGGGAGGCCAGAGCTCTATCTGAGAAGTGCCTGCTTACTCAACAACTAAGGGAGTACCAAAACCAAAGGGATCAAAGCATTCTAATTTACTTTCCTCCCTATTGATTGTGTGTTTATTCTTTACCTCACCTGTCTGGAACTCAGCTATTTGGCAATATCATCTATCTAGAACACAGTCAAGAAATAGGAAGTAAGGAAAATGGCCATTGAACGCTCAAGATAATACGTTCGTGCTGCCAGGACCTCCCCCAAAGGCATATTATTCTTGATTTAGATACAGTTCTGGAAGGTTTAGTCATTGGATTTCCAAGCCCACTAAAATCCAGAAACAGACCATTAGAAAAGGGCCTGCCCTAGGTAAGTATACCTTGTAGCAGCAATAAAATGACAACTGACAAGGGAGGAAACAGGGAAAAAACCCTCTACAAATCAAAATAACTCAAAAGTACAGCTATCTGTGGCAATTTGATACAGACACAAGGAGCCCTACAACCTCAATTGGTCTCACAGCACAGAACAGTAATTGGTGCTCATATGGATGCTATTTAGTCATAAGAAAAAGTTAAATAATGTTTTGTACTCTGTTTAAGAAGGCAGAAAAGTATAATACATTTTAAAGATGCTAATTTACATTCACAACGGTCAAAGTAAAAAAACCCAACTTTGATTGCTTTAAGAGAATAGATAAATTCTCATCTCTCTAGAATACATGGCTATTCAGTCTTTCTGGATACCTCCTCAACCCCCCACCTCTCCCACACCCCGCACCCTGTGCTCTCTCTCAAAATTTCTTTATGTTTATTTTCTTTATGTTTTGTGTACATTGGTACATGGCATGTTTTTTTTCCTAATAGAATGTAAGCTCCTGGAGGACTGCTTCACTTTTGTTTTTGTATCCCTAGTGCCTACACAGTGACCGATACATGATAGCCCTCTAGTAAATGCTTCTTGGATGGTAATTAACTCGTTTTTTGAAATCTGAAGATAGTTGAGACTTTACTGTATTAAAAAAAAAACAACTTTGAGAACTGTGAAGGAAAATGCAAAGTGAAAAAAACTGGGTTCTTATTATAAGTCCCAATTATCATGTGCCCCTTTATCATAACACAGGATGTCTTCTTCAAGAACATATGGAGAATTAATAATTATATAAAAACATAGACTATTAAAAAGCCTGTTAGAAAGATAAACAAAATTTATTTTTATAACAAATGTGTCTGATAGTGTATGCAACCTTTTGCACTCATAGTCCTCCGTCTCTCTACCAAGTAAAGGAAAAGCTACACTGTTATTTTGAAAAGGAAGCAAATGGGATTACAACTTTTAACTTTTGAAAAATTGGTTTCACCAAAAATGTGCTAAACTTTAATCAGACATGGATAAATGCAAGCAAACAATTCTACAGATTTTAGGGGAGACTTGCAAAGAATTTGAAACTCAAGTGTACAATTCTCCAATCAAGCTCCTTACTGAATACTTAAAGTTGAGTGGAATGGGGAGCATCTACTTTAGGGATGTTGTGAGTCATGGTATGTGCTGAGTCCTGAGGGACTAGTACTTCGAAAGATGATAAGCTTGTTTCTTGGGTTACGTAGCCATCACAGTACTTTTGAGTTGCAATGGCTGAATACTAGCAATGTCTCAAAATCAACCTAAGGTAAGGTTTTGGTTAAAGAGTTTAAAATGTTGAACATGACAGGTTTCAACATATAAGCTCTCTGTTCTATGGGCTCCAGCACTGAGGCCTAACACTGTTTTACTCGTATCATGCTGCTTCCTTCTTGCGCTTCCATTGATTATTACAGGTCCCAATGTGGCGGTAGTTTGGAGAGTGACATAGCTCATTAGAATATTTTATAGCAATTCTCATCTTAATAATGACAAATAACTGGGGAATATTTTATTTTTCAAATGTGACTCTAACCAATGTATTACACTGTCCTTTAGAAAGGAAGGAACTGGTTTGACAAAATGCTTTGTGAAGGTAACTGGGAAAGCAACAGAGAGGATAGGTGATGATCAATGAAAGTGGAATCTTCTACTAAACTCTGAAGAAAAAGACATAATTTCAGAGATGAGGTTCAAGCAAAATGGAATCAAGAATTTTGACTCTACTAAAAAATAATTCAAGAACTGAGAGAATAGCCAATTTACTCATGAGGGATGTCTGATGAATGTTTAAAGTCTTTACCATGGGGAAAAGAAGAAATCCCTAATTAGATAGTGCCCCTTAAGCTGAGCTTTGGCCAT